CCACCCCCATCCCCTCAACTGCTTTCAGAAAAAGAGGTTAGAGTTCACAAGCTCATCAGTTGATATTTAAAGGGCTCGCTCTCCCCCAGGCCTTTAGCAACATGTGCACATTTTTTTTAACGTGTCCTTATTAATTTATGCTGCCGGTCAACAAGATACAAACGGCCTTAGTTTCTGGGTAATCTACAGCAGGTAACTCTCAGATATGACTGATGTAAATGAGTCAGCTGTTCATAGCTATGTTTAGCAGAGCTTTAAAATACAAAAAACATTATCAAGAGACAGTTATATCATTCTGGACAGGGGAAATGTTCTAACAAATCCATGTTATTCGTTTAACTAAACCCAGGCTAAATGTATATATTCATAATATTAAGTTAAATAAGTCGCATACTCGTACCTGGGGGATTTGGTGTGCCACTTTGTGTCTCCATACTGAGACATAAAGTGGCACTAGCTTTAAAAAGTCTGGATGCATTCGTATTTTAACCCAGAGGTGATTACCAGACAAAACAACCGCTAAAGAGGAGAATATGTGAATGAGCAAGACTGCTGCTCCTCCTGGCACAACGTTCCCATTTATCTGGGCTTGTGATGCCCTGAGGGTGGATTTGTATCCAATCCTACTCTCAAACCAGGGAGCTTTCATGTGTAAGATGAATCCATTAACCACTACACAAAGGACCCACATACAGTACATGCTATTTACTACTGCAAAATGAAAAAACAGTGTCCTGTCCATTCACATATTTTTTTAAATATATGAACAAACTGGAGCTGCCAATTACACTTTAAAAAGAGAAGATTTCCCTCGTTTTATTGTATTCGAGGCCTTGCTGGATGTGGCTCGTTATCATTTATCATATGTTGACATTCAAAGAGAAAACAAGAGAGAATATGGAAACATACTTATTGCCATTACTTTACTTGGGAACATGCAAATAAATATGGTATATGCTGCAAATACTGCATTTAATATATACCAACCCGCCTATGTTATCCTAGCAATATTCTTTCATGCTAATAAAAAACTGACTTTAACTACTAATGATGACATAGGCAACGATAATTAACACCCATCTACAATAATATTGATAAAAAATACAATAAATGTGCCGATTTTATATTCAGCTTTAGCTTAGCTTTAGCTTAGCAACAGGGTCAAATTCTGACAAGCCACCTATCTAAGGTTAACCCCCCCCCCCCCAAAAAAATACCCGATATAAGCCCTGATCAATCCTCTCTACATATTAATGAAGCAGCCAGTGTTAATTACGCACCCCTTTCCTATTGGTGACGCAGGCACTATCGATCCTGAAGCTGCCTATTTAACACGGGCGAGCAGCTGGAAGCATCGGACACAACCTGGGCTCCTGAAGGGTGCAGTCACCGGTGAGTCTTGCTTACTTCTTCTTATAGACAGATTTCTGGGCACTAAAAACTTTATTTTTCTTTCTCTAGTGTTTAGACCTGTGTTGGTGCAGGAACAGGGTCAATGCTATTGTTAAGACTAAATAAGCAGTGGCGTGTCCAGCGGGGTGGCCTGGGAGGGCAGACTGGCCACCCCAGGTGCCACCCCAAACAATAAAATTCAATCAAATATCAAATGTACGATTATGTTTTAACGGTGAACCTCAGATATCCGAGTGTAAGTGAATGCAGCATCGTCTTCTGCGCTATGTGCATCAGGTTAGCAAAGGTAGGAGAGCCAAGCACGAAAGACAGCACTGCAGGAAACAATTTTTCGGTGAAAGAAAATGAGGACAGAATAAATGTCCCGGTAAGTAATATTAAGTTTGTTGAGTTTAGTAAACTTCGGTGAAATTAGAATACCAAGGAAAAAATAACACTTAAAGAATTATTGCAGCCGTGGATTATATCAGACAGTAGGCTACTGAGGGCAGCTAACATAAGAGTTATGAGTTATAAGATATAATCTAAGTCGTAACATTGCTGTATGGAGCTGCAGATTTGGTTGCAGGTTAACATAGCTGGACTGGCCATCGGGCATACCGGGCACATGCCCGGTGACTTATTTTTTATTTTTGTAATGGCATGAACAATGAGAGGTGGTGGATTGGCCAGATGCAGGTCGATGTGTAAAAATAACTCAGTTGTTTGGTGGTGGCTATGGCGGGGCTTCCACAGAGGCCAGCAGGTGGATGAGGGAAGGGGAGGCAGGAGGAGAGCCCCGAGGCAGCCGTCCGAGTGTCAGGTGAACTGAACTTCAGGTAAGAAGTTATGACCTGCAGTCTATCTGGGTCAGATATAAACCAAGTTTAGGTGGAGTTTATTTTCGTTGTGCTGACTTTTTACCGTCAGTTGCAATAACTCGTACTGCGTTCTAGCCAGCTTGACGGAGTTTTTATACAGCTGGGTGGGTGCTATGATGTTACTGATAGTGAACTTTATTTTATTCATAAGGTTAGTTAGTAGAGTTGCCAACGGCTCCTTAAAAAAATGGAATGGTCCCTCATTCAGAGAAAATATTACACGTTTCGTATTGAGCTGAGAAGAGACGCAGTTTGTCCCGAACTTTAGCTAGAATGGAAAAAAAGACACAAAGCTGGAGTTATTCTGTCGTTACGCTGCACAGCTGCCTCTTCTTCTCTCATTCTCTCCCCCTGCCTCTCCTGTTGCTACTTCAATCATGAAACTGATCAATGATCAGCTGATCGGCTTTTCTCTCTTGTTTGTTTATCGCCCACTTTGCGCCAGAAAGAGGAAACCAGCGGATGTCGCGCTAAACAACAGCAGCACGTTTAAGCTTGATCAGCTGTTGTTAGAATTTATTTAATATTAATTTCTAGTATCAGCTGATGTTTGCTGGAGCCACAGCTGTAAAGCTGCTGGTCATGATATGGTTTGGTTATGTGGTGAGAGGGAAACATGAAGATGAAACCAGGAGATGTCCTTACTGAATCATCAGAGCTGAACAGTGATGGAGAAACAGGTTTACCTTTTAGGTACATGAATGAGTTGAAGGGAAGTTATGAACTGTTTCTGAGAGACAAATAACACCAGGATCCTTTTCTAAGTAGCTGACAGCTGGTAACTGTGCAGGGGCGGGTCTAGCAAAGTGTTGCCAGGGGGCCAGGTAGGGCATTAACAGGGAGAGGGGGGCACAAAGAAATACTTTTCTTTCTTATTCTCATTTAAAATATCTCGCTTTTATTAAATAATTATCTAAATCTTACAACCAAAGTTTTTATCTGACGTAAAATGTATAGAAATCATACATATACCAACAAGACTGTACATCACTGTCACAACAGCGTTTGTTTTCATTCAAAGTCTTTATGGCTTTAATACCTGGTGGGCCGGTCTCTAGTCAAAATGCCCGATTTTCTGTCCCAGTCCAGCCCTGCAGGTTAATACTGGCAGTGTCACCATGCCAGCTGACTGTATTTCATCATCAGCCAGTGTTGTTCTTTATCAATATTACCAAAGTTTACCATAAGGCAGCATAGAAAGTATTTACTTGCTTTCAGGTTTTATTCAAATGTTAGTCTTTTCAGTTGTTTCCCCACTTTTTTCCTGTTTCCAAATCAAACACCAGTTTGTGAGAAGATTATCTTCTTTTTTTTAACAGGCACATAAAGTTGTACATTGGCACTGGCTAATTTGTCAATTGTTTGTTACAAATGTTTGTATTTTAATATTCAAAAATGTTTTTGCCCAAAACATATGTGCACAACATGTCAGTAAAAATACTATGCAAATATTGATGTCCTTGACTGCTGAATAAACACTGACTGATTGTATCTCTTGTACTTTATCAACGCAGTATCTAAAAACTTTGCACCGTAGTGGTTAAAATCTCATTCTAATAAGAGTTAAAAGTGCATTCGGTTGTTAGGTTTAGAGTTATTGAATTATGGTTAACGGTTGGTAGAATTTTTTTTTTTTTAAACATTATCTGCCAATTACATCTGCCACCCTTCTCCAAATCCCCTACCTGGCCCCCCCAACAAAAATTTTCTAGACGCGCCACTGTAAATAAGTACTAGCTTCTATTTTGTCCCTGAGATTTATTTCCCCAGCATAAAGTAGTGTTGGTGTTAGCAGTGGTAGCTTAGAGATGGCAAACCTACAATAAAAAGCAACATGGATTAACAACTCTGTGCACTGGGTTGGTGTAGATTGTGAGCACAGAATCTCCTCACCAGGTTTCGTTTTGTTTCTGTAGTTTTCCGAGTGAGAGCCTGTGCTAAAGCTAGCTGTGCACCACTTCTTAGTTACCTCTTTTAGTTCTACAGAATTTTTTTTTGTTTGTCCCATCTGCTCCAAGTAGCCCCGTTAGAGGTGCGCTTTGCCCCCTGTGGTCCGAGTCTTCCCGGTCAGCCGTTAGACTCTGTTCCTGTTACTGTTAGCGAATCTTTAGCTTCCGCTTGGTTGCTACTGCAAAGACTTACTGCTGATGTAGAAATTTAAATCTTTCATTACTAAATCACTTGACTTAGTTTTACTTCTAACTGTGAAAGAATGTGAGGAGAATCCAGCTAAGGTGACACAGTGACCATTACAGATGTGTCTGAAGCCACAAGGCCCGCCCATAATGCCTAGGCTGCCGCCAATGCTGAAAATTCCCACCACAGTACCCAAATGTGCAATGAGAACAGAGACAGGGACAGTGCAGGGAAGTGCTCGCATGCATTTAGCGTGTGAACGATAAATTAATTTTTTTATAATCTGACATTCTTAGCTCTCTCCCTAAACAAAAACAGTGAGTGCAACGTTAAAACTCAGTCCTATAAGTTATTATTTTATCCACAGTAACTTTAAGAATATTTGAGTATACATCTGTTAGCTGGTGCAACTCCTTCTGATCCACAGGTTTCTTATATGACTTATAAAACTGTCTTCCAAAAGTTTTACCCATTTAGTAGGAGTTTCTCTATCTGTACTACACTGCTATTTTCTTTTAGGTCTTTTAGTTTTCCTTACAATCCACAAGCATGTTGCATAGCTTGTAGCTTTTTGGGTGAATATGACTGTGTATATAAAAATATCTGCAGGAAAACTAGACCCTTGAAAATAATTAAAATAACTGAAACAGTTTTGTGAACTTGAAAAAATAAAATATAGTAAAAAAAAAAATGTAGAGGAAGTTTTAGTATTTGTTAGTTTGGTAAAATTTTACCACAATTTCCCTGATGAAGTTTTGAGGGATATGTTTATTGACAATCTGGATATCTACAAAACTGTGAGACAACTGCTTTTAAAAAAGGCGTGTTTTTATTTTTATTTTTTTTAAAAAAGCAATATTTTAATAAATTCTATTTCTGACATGCACCCTCCAAACTAAAAGTTAACATTTTCAAACAATAAAAACTAAATTGAAACAAAAAACCTGCTCTGCACTTAAAAAAAGCAAGACTAAATCAAAATAAAGTTATTAGTCCAATCAGTGTCAAACAATGGTCTGAGTTTTACATGAGTTCACAGTTGTGTGAACAGAGCACAGAGAAAAGGGCTCAACAGAGAGCTTTAGAGGACTTGAGTACTTAGAGTGAGAGTGGAGGATGTGTGCTTGCCTGGCCTGACAGGCTGTTGTTAGGCGGTTGTTAACAAAATCTAATATCCAGGGACATATGTAGTTTGACCACCACCTTATTTGGAATGATAGCGTTGTTGCTGAGCTGTAGTCAACAAAGAGCAGAGAGATATAACTCATTTGGCTTCATTTTTCCCATTTGTCTAGTGTGTTGGGTGTTTGCTTCTGAAGATTCTTGAAAGGTCTTGTGAATTGTGGGTCTTATTTCATATCATATCTTATTTGTTCCACAGTATGAACGCTCTACATACTTACAATCTTATATAATGTAAATAGAATAGTTCAAACACACAACAGTAGTTGCCCTTGAGGTTTTATTTATTTTCAACATGAACAAAATTGGACTGAAAACTTTCAGAATGCTGCTTTTGACTTGTCACAGTGGCCACTGATCAAACAAACATCTACTCAGTACTTCTATCAGCTCTACTCATTTGAATCATTTTACAGCCATAACCGTTGAATATGCATCCTAAAATACCACATAATGCATAAAAGACTTTATAAATGTATTTATAAAGGACACAAGTTTTGTTAAATTAGCAAAACCAGTGAATAACAAATGCAATAACTTTGCAAGAGCACCTGTGAATGTCCCATCAGAAAAACAATTTAAATCGTAAGTACAATATTGCACTGAAGTTGTATACTTGGCAATAATAATATACTATACTGCCAATGAAGACTGTACAATATCTTCTAAAGGCACCATCAAAATAAGTATGTTGTGTTCACAGTGATTCCAACAATAGATGATCAGCAGTAAGACTGAAATCTTCACGGTTTCAGTGTATTGAGGTTAGATCAATAGGTGAAGGTCTTGGATCTGCAGCAGTCAGATGCAGATCCCCTGGAACTCTAGAGCTTTCCACGTGCAACTGTAGACAGTGGCTCAGGAGTGGATGGCACGTAATGTCTGTTAAGTGCGCCGTGAAAGATACAGGAACTCCTCCCGGGTTTTGGGGTCCTCGAGGTAGACTCCCAGCATGGCGCTTGTCACTGTGCGGCTGTTCATCTTCTGGACACCACGCATCACCATACACATGTGCCTGCAAAACACACAAGTGCGCTTATCAAACCTCTGCAGCTCCTGAGCTTACTGGCTCCTAAGCTCTGCTTAAGGCCAGTATTTTGTGTCATATAATGCTATATGAATATCTGTGCAATATAACAGCAGCTTTAAGCTGTACAGATAATAATGTTGAAGGTAGGTAATGTGTGTATGTTTGTACTTACGCCGCTTCAATAACCACGGCTACACCTTTTGGCTGCAGAGCCTCAGATATCCCAACGGCGATCTGCTTAGTCAGTCGCTCTTGAACTGAAACCAAAACAAAACAAAGAAATTCAGCTTATACGGTACACTAGACGATGCCAGTTTCATGCTGTTACTGCGTGCACACATTTGCCGGTTGCTTACCTTGAAGCCTACGGCTGAAGATCTCCACAATCCTGCAGAAATCAGAACACAAGAAAAGCCAAGGAGATTCATTAATAATGATTCAGTTTTTAATAAACACAGTCTGGCATCAGTCCCTGACTACCGGCCTCTTCTCCAGCCAGCAGACTGTATAACTTGTCATTTGTGAATCAGTCACATTCTGTGAATTTGTCATTCACAGTTCAACGTTAGTGAGACTGTCTCAAGTTCATCTGCAGCTACTGTAACTCTGCACCACTATATTCAGATTTAAAGAGATATTTTAGGACAGGAGGAGAAGGAGACAGGCAGAGAGGCTGTGATAATAGTCTGGGATTCCCACAGGTCCAAAAGGATTTTCTCATGGCTCGAGAGCGAGCAGAGTTTAGACTTGTGTCTGATGAGAGGCCTAGATGATAGCCAGTGTGTTTAGGCTCTAAGCCTCCAGGTCAATGCACTGGAATAACAGAAGAACACAGTCAGCTGACACTAACACGAGAAACATACAGACACAGTGGCAGCTGGAGGGTACAGTGCATGTGTGTGGGTGCGTACTCTGTTACCTTGCCAGCTTGCTCAGTCCCACCACTTTTTTGTTGGGAATATACCCGATGTGAACCTGGAGAGGGACGACAGCCAGTGAGACCACATAATCAGAGAAATACAGGAGGTCAATATTAGTGGTTGAATGCTGAAATTAATTCACTGAACAATGCTTAATGAGTAAGAAAGCTTTTTTCTTGTCTCACTCTTTCTTTTTTTTTTTAAATGTAACATTTCTTTCAATCACATAGACCTACCTTGCCAAAAAAGGGCACCATGTGGTGTTCACATAGTGAAAACATGTCTATGTCTTTCACAATCACCATCTCATCGTGGTCTTCATCAAATATGGCATTGTTTAAGATGTCTGGTGATACAAAAGCAAACATATGCATTTAAATTATTCCATTATCTTTACTTCAGTTAAGGAAACATTCATCTGAAATCTTTTCAATATCCTGGAATCATAATAATAATAATGCTTAATACTTGATCTACCCGTTATTTTGTGCCTTGATCTTTTAATTTTAACGTCTGTGAAGATTTAAAATATCATGATTTGACCAATCAAACGTTCATAAGTAAAAAGATGCTGAATACTGAGTTAAGTCATTTTGCTAACTCACTCTCTCATCCTCTCTCAACTTTTTCCCAGGTGACTCACCATCGATGGTCTCATGGTAGCCCTTGGTGAGGAACTGGATGGCTTTGGCTGCGCGCAACGGGGTGCGCAACAGTCCCTCCCGGTCGGTGTCCTCCCCAAGATGCCTGAGGATGTCGGTGTAGGCGGTCTCCAGCGCCGGTAACCGAGACGCGTCCTCCAACTCTTTGCGGGATGTCTCGTGGTGGTTGTTGACGGTTGACATCTTGTTGTCTGTGTGGAACTCCTCCACGATGTCGCCGACTTTTGTGCTCATGGTTAAGGCGCGCTTGGACTCTGCTCAGGACCGAGAAATAAACAAGGATGAAGTTCCGTTGCCCTGCGGGTCTGGCTGGCCTATTCGGTAGTTATCCTGTTTATGGGGCCTGCCTGGGATGCGCATCAGGCTCCTATTGGTTGGAGTCGTGCGTACGTCAAAAAAGGAAGCATCGTCAGAGGGGTTAAATACTGACCAACCCCGCCCCCTGCAAAGAAGAAAAAAAAAAAAGAGAAAGAAACCTTATCTTATGTCACTTGAGACCTTTTTAACCTCCTTTTTAAATCATCTGAGTTGATTTGTTCCAGTTATGTTACTCTGATACAAAAAATCTTAGTAAGCTCGTGAGGCTCATGACTTCACATGCTTTTTTTTTTTAATTTTATGGAAATCAAATTGTTGTATAATCACGTGAACTGTCTTGATAAGCCACAATCAAAAGCACAATATGTTTGTGTTTTTTGTTTTTTTTTCTGCTGGGAATACACAGCCCAAAATGTCAGAGGGCTTCAAAGGTACATATCTGCATTAAAGATACTTACAACCAGTCTGTTTAACTCTATGTCTTAATTATGAAAAATGTGGATGGTTTGACATTAATTTTGTAATATTATTTTCATGAATAAAATGATTTAATACAAACAAGCCTTGTGGGATCTGATATCTGATAAGTAATAAATGTTGTTTGCATGGTGATATAGTATTTTAATCATAATAAGAATAATAGTAACTTTATTTATAAAGCGCTTTCAACCAAAGTACTGTGCAGCTATTTGAACTAAAAAAAAAAAAAGAATAAATAAAAACAATAAAAGTTAAAAACAGTAAGAATTTAAAAACTAAAAGGCATAAAATTAAGACATGTAAGATAATCATCAGATAACAGTTATTACATTTATTTACTTTTTCTTGCTGTAGGTCAAAGGTCACTTTAGGTCAGTGTGCAGATTGTGATAAGTTTGTATATTTTGGGTGTGAGACAGAGAATGAAACAATCACCCGTGCAAATTGGTTTATTTTATCACTTAATTGTTCTGTTCACTATAAGCAATATGACAGCAAGAAACACAAGCGACACATTAGGTAAGTATTAGGTATTTACTCATCAACAGCACATATCACAGAAAAAAATTTGCTGCCATGTTCCCTAAAGCAAGTTACGCAAGGAATTAATATATAATTCACAAATATTTCTGGTTTGTCAAGCTCATTTCCAACGGACTGAGGAAAAGTAGAAAACTTATTTTATCTGATGAATCACATTTAGACATTTTTCACAGAAATACACATGCTTCAGGCTAAAGAGCATCTGGCTTGTTATGCCTCTGTGATTGTCTAAAAGGGCACATGCCATAAGTAACTTGTACATGTGTGAAGGCACCACTTGATATATAAAGCATTAAAGTGATGTAGCCATCCATCCGGATGGGCTTTTATCGTTTTAAGAAAAGGTGTTGCTTGTTTCTACTTACTGTTTTGTCTCAGCTGCAGTCATTACACAAAACTCATTCACTGCAGCTACTAGATAATAATATTGGCATGCAAACACTCAGATATCCATAGATTTCATTTTTTGTTTGGTAGATGTGTATTCAATTTACATAGGGGTTCAAAAGTCAAAAACATAAGTGTAACTTTCTTTAACTTCTAAAATTATTTTAGATAAGTTTAAAAATGTTAGTTCCAGTTAAGTTCACGCTAGAAAGGTCAGTAAGTTCAGTCTACACTTCAGGGTCTAAGTATAGAGAGCATGTGCTGTTAGGTCGATAAGGTTTTAATTCAATGGGGTTATTTTTTGGTTTTGTTTTAATTGAATTAACTGTTTCTGGGTTTACACAGGGCTCCATAATGTCGTGATTTACACATTTGCCTTGCATCAGACAGTTTCCTGGTTCAAGACCAAAATCCATACAAATCTACTAAATCAACTGTGCAGCGCTATCAGCTGTGTTGACCCCTTGTAAGGTAGCAGCTGAAAGAAGCATCAGATACTCTAAATCAATAGGACAAACTACGATAAGTTTAAATGAAAGGATTGCTTCATATTCTTGGAAGAAATCCTTTGCATTAAATGACTGCCTGAAGTATAGAACCCATGGATGTGGTCATGAAGCGGTTTCTCCCCTGAGAAGCTCAGCTAAGCCTTCACTGCAGCCACTTTTGGCTGCTTCTTATTTGTGGGTCCCTCTGAAATTTGTTTCCAGTAACTGAAAAGCATCTACTAATCTATTAACTTCATGTTGAGTTTGTTTGATGAAATTCTGCTCTGATCCATAAGAGGTTAATTATAATTATATGAGTATATATATTATGTTAATTGGTGTTTCTAAATTGCACATAGGTGTGCATGTGTTAGCCCAGTGTTAGATTGGCGACCTGTCCAGGGTGTGCCTTTCCTCTTGCTCTATGCTAGCTGGGTTAGGCCCAGCACCACCCAGGCGACCCTGATAAGGATAAGCGGAAGAGAATGGATGGATGGATGGAAGTCGAAAATTTGGGTTATCATTTCAAAATTTCGACGTAATAACTTTTAGTTTTAATACATTTAAACGATTTCATTAGTTTTGAGTTATTTACTGAGAAATGTGAGTTAGAAAGTCGATATTATTTATGTTCCGGTGATTACTGAAGTTTTAAGTCAGGTTCGAAAATGTTTACATAACATTAGTGTTCCGAGCTACTGAAGACGTAAAAGAAGAAGCGAGCGGCGTTCTTGTCATTTACATGTTTCAGCGACTTACTCGAGAGTTTAAGACCATTCAAACATCTGTTTATACGTGGTTTAGCTTTGAAATGTCTGCATTTGTGAATAAAAATGTTCCCAGTAAGCGGCCCCGGTTGCGTTCTTGTTTCTATGGGAACATCTCGTCAACGCAACTTCCTGTTTGGTTCTGCTCGGTGGCGGGAGATTCCAGGATGGCGGTGCAGCCGAAACAGAACCTGTCCATGGACAGCGCAGCCGAGCACGGCTTTCTTAACTTCATTTTCTCCATGCCGGAGAAGCCGGACACCACATTCCGGATATTTGACCGTAACGAATATTATACGGTTCACGGGAAGGACGCCATATTCGCGGCGAAGGAGGTTTTCAAAACGAACGGGGTCATCAAATATTTGGGTTCAGGTACTAGCTTAGCTGTGCACTAAGCTAACTTCAGTTGGCGCTTTTAAACAAGTAAGGGGACGAGGGGTGCCTCGGTGCCTTCACTATTAAGCTAACCTAGTTGGTGTGAACGTGTAGCCAGAGAAAGGGTTTCACAGGTTGTAGCTAAGGTGGCTGCTATTAGCTGCAGCCCTAGCAGGTCCTGTACGTTCAAAAGCATTGCCATGGCTAATTAAATGTTGGACAGAGTATGTTTTTGTGGGAAATGATGAGGGGTCCTCTTACAGTTAAGTGTTTTCATTTATTGTCTCAGGGACATTTCATTTTTTAAATGGAGATATATCATTGAGCTACAAATTTCCTGTGAGGTCACTGACAGAAAAACATGGAGAACAAAAACTGCTTCACCCAGATATTAGATGTTTTAGTCTTTATAGCTAGCTGCAGCTCCTTTCTTCTGTGGTAGTTTTCAGCATACAACACAAAAACCTGCATGACTTGTACCTTTGTGCTGACTCTAAATTTTACACTAGGACAAATGATGGAGTTTAAATACCTTGAGTCAACCATGGAGAGCACTGGATTGTGCACAACATAAGTGAAGAAGAGAGTACCAAGAGGGTGGTGCAGGTGGAGATGGGTTTCGGGGGTGATTTTTGACAGGAGGGTAGCAGCAAGAGTGAAAGGGAAGGTGAAACCTGTTTTGATGTATGATTTAGAGACAGTGGCATTGAGAAAAAGACAAGAGGGAGAACTGAAGATGTTAAGATTTTAATTAATTGGGAGGATGGACAGGATTAGAAACGGTTATATTAGAGGGACAGCTCAAGTTGCGCATTTTGGATACAAAGTTGGAGGGGCAAGGATTTGGACATGTACAGAGGAGGGATAGTGGATGTATTAGACAGAAGATCCTTAATTAGAACTGCCAGGCAGAAGGGAAAGAGGAAGCCCATACAGGAGGTTTTTGGACATACTGAAGGAGGACATACAAAGCAGGATGCTGGGGACAGGCTGAGATGGAGGCAGATGATCTGCTAAATAAAAAATGCCACCTGGTCACATGAGATACTTGTGTACTGAAACCACCAGCACTCTGTGCCATGAGAAGGACGCATTACAAAGATTTTGACATGTTTTTGTTGGTCAACAGGGAGTCGAAAGCTGGAGAGTGTGGTTCTGAGCAAGCTGAACTTTGAGGCCTTTGTGAAAAATTTGCTGTTGGTGAGGCAGTACAGAGTGGAGGTGTACAGGAACCACAGCAAGAGCAGCAAGGAGCACGACTGGAAGATTGAGTACAAGGTACTGTGCTGGCTATTGAGACATATCAGGGTGGTTTCTGCTTGTTTAAAAAACAACTCTGGATCTTACCTCCTGTGTCCAAATGCAGGCCTCTCCAGGAAACTTGACTCAGCTTGAGGAGATCCTTTTTGGTGGGGAAAGTGGCTCAGAGGGCTGTGCAGGTGTCGTAGCTGTGCGGCTTGCAACTGGAGCTGATGGGCAGCGTGTTGTTGGGGTCGGGTATGTGGATGCAGCCCAGTGGACGATGGGAGTGTGCGAGTTTCCAGACAATGAGATATTCTCCAACTTGGAATCCCTGCTTGTCCAAATCAGTCCCAAAGAGTGTCTCCTAGCCCAGGGGGAAGCTAACGCTGATGGGAGTAAACTGCGTGAGGTATGTGGGCACGGTAATTACTAAACTTATGTTAAAAAAATCAGTATGAACATCAGTCTTGCAAAATGGGAAATCTTTAAACGAGTGTTCTTTTCTTTAAACCAGGCCTGACTTTAAAAAAATGAATATTAATACTCTGGCTGCATAAGCAGAGTTTGTGATGCGAGTATATTGTTGTTTTTGTATGTCTGTGTAGGTGGTGCAGCGTGGCGGCATGCTAGT